TAACCCTAACCCTAACCCTAACCCTAACCCTTCTTAATGATTTCTTCCTCAAAGCTGAGTACCAAATGTTATCCACCAGTCCTTAAGATGGTAGAAAACTAGACCAGCATAACATTGGCTGCTCTGCAGGCAATCACTGCCCTCCACAACCACAGTGCTGGCAAATTAGGCTATCCTTATCTTATGCAGTATTGCCCAGAAGTGAATGTACTAATATTGTATAATATAATATCCTTTTTGTAGGGCAATAGATGTAGGACATATCACAACATAGGGATTACAGGTAGTCCTCGACTTACGACCACGATTGAGACCAGAATTGCCTGGGACTACTGTATCAGCACTAGCCTAAAGTACATGATGAGCTAATCCAACCACACAAAAATCATCTGACTGAATCATTAACAGAATCATTGACAGATTTTATCTGAAGCAAAATCTGTATTGGAGTAAGGAGGAAAGCACTAGTTTAACGATGATACAGGAATACAGGATATCTTTAAGATGGTTTCAAGTATGGTTCTGGAGCTTAATGAAGGCAGGAGGATTTGGCATTAAACGAGTTGATGTAGGACAGAGGTGGTATTCAGCAGGTTCTGACCAGTTCTGGAGAACTGGTAGCAGAAATTTTGAGTAGTTCGGAAAACCGACAAATACCACCTCCGACTGGCCCCACCCCCATCTATTCTCTGCCTCCCGCGTCCCAGCTGATCGACTGGGTGTTCTTTTGTTGCCCTGCACTGGAGAAAGGAGCTGGAAAGCAGGTTAGTGGGGTGGGAAGGGAATATGGATTTTGCAGTATCCTTCCCCCAGGAGTGGGGAGGGAATGGAGATTTTACAGCATCCTTCTCCTGCCATGCCTGCCAAGCCACACCCACAGAACTGGTAGTAAAAAAGTTTGAATCCTACCACCAGCGTAGGAAGAAAAAGCTCTTTAAATGATAATGTGTATGACTTAACTACAAAATGAGATGTGGCATCTTTATTAAAACTGGTGGTCCCTTTTCTAAATGGACTCCTGGTTTTCTGCCACAAGGCTTATCTTGGTGACAGCACAATTCCTTCCATAATTGATAGTCACTTCCTTTCAGTTACTATTAGCAAGCATGGTGATTTCTCCTTTCTTTTCCCCACCAACAGACAACTGTCTCAGCTTCTGCTGAGCTTATTGCCTCTGTACCATTCAGTTATGCTATAAAAAATAATTCTAGTTCATTTTTCTGGCATTTTAACACAGGTAATTGACTTCAAGATGCAGGAATGATATTTTGGATAAAATCAACCTAATCATGTGATATTCATCCTAGGATTTTTTTCCTGCTTTGTAGCAGCGTCTATCAGATATTGTTAGGCTAGCAGCAAAAAGGGGGAAAATGTTTTGAGTTTCACAAGCTGCAAATTTAAGAAGCAATAATAACAACAATTAGGCCTATACCATGGTTGTGTTGCAGTGATCCAGATGAGTGCAAGGTTTTTCATATGAATGGATTAATCTAACCAAACGAAAGTCTCCCATGCAAAATTGCCATGTTTCACAATTTGGAGGGCTTCCAGACAAAGCCAAATTACCCCCAAATTCACCAACAGCAGAACCAAAAAATATTGTCAATTCTTTGATATACTGTTGGGCTTCAGTTTTAATGCTAGCAAGTTTTCTTATGGATCACATTTCAGTAATCATGATAATCTTTGCAGCAAACAATAGAGTTATTTGGAACTTTTAAAAGATTATCATATTAACTGCAGCTTTGTCATAGATCCCTGGGTTGTTTCTGTACATTTTTAACTTGTGCAGAATAAAATCCTGGAAGTGCCATGTTTCCAATTACTGCAGTGAGGAGAAGAAAGGAAATATCCTTGTTTCTGAGAGGTTTTAAAGAGGTAGAACCCCATCTGTGACAAGATATGATCATCGTAAAACCAAGTTTGTCCAATGCAGAATATTGAAATAAATTTTACCTTCAAAGCGTCTGGAAATTTCCTCCCAGTACTTGTTGAGCAATTCAATAAATCTTCACAAAATAAAGCTTTCACAGGCACGAGAGCTTCTTTCTCTGACTCTAGAATATAAACCTGATTGAAAAGACTGGTTAGCCAATCAAATCAAGAAAGAGGTCAAGGGAATTACATGCTTCTCACTTCATCCCACCCATCCTTTCTGTGCTCACAAAACCTGAAACGTCTTATTATTTATAATTGGATTCTTAGGCCTGTATTTAGAGAAACTATTTTCTAGCAGATAAAACATGAGCATCAGAGTAGAATGTGCAACAAAACAACAGGGTGAGATAGTCTGTTTATGACACCATGTCTCTACCTACTGACTGACAGTGGTGGTACATTTTAAATAAATCCCTAAAAGGCTAGAATTTCACATGCCCAGTATCTCCAGAAGAATTAGCCAGTAAAATAACTGCCTGTCGTGTCATGGTTCAGTAACAGAGCTTGTGCCAGGAGAAATATGAATGAGGGGTTGTCCTGTGGCTCTGAAAGAAGCAATGGTGTACCCCCCAACCTCCTCAGCTATCATTTGTTATAGCAATGTTAAACAATTTCTTATCATTCTCTAATCTGGTGGTCAGGTTTCAGAGAGTCCTGAAAGAAGCCTTATATCCTTTCTGGTCTGCTTTCATGCCTGGTTGTAACAAAGATACTGCATTGATTGTACTTGTAGATGGTCTTGGTGGAGCTGAGATGGACACGATACAGCTATCTTTGTACCTCAACAGTGCTGGATAGTGGATACTATAGTATCTATAGATACTATATACATTATAGTACTATACTATATGATTATAGTATCTTTCTGGACTGACTTCAAGGATTAGGAGCAGTGGGTCCAGTGCTGCAGCGGTTCCTCTTTTTCCATGGTCAGTCTCTGTGGTTTTTCTATTTAACATCTAAATGAAGCTGCTGCATGAGATCGTCTGACAACACCATTTCAGGTCCATCGGTAGGCTGATGTTACCAAGTTGTACTTCTTGAGCCTGGGTCAATCAAGCAATATAGTCAAGATTTTATCTCAAAGCTGTTGGGATCTAGATGGAGAGGCTGTTGCGGGGCGGGGTTGGCCTGGCAGCCTTAATTAATTGAATGGTGGCTGCATTGTATTTCTAAAAAGGAAAGGATAATTGCAAAGAATGTAATTAAAGAAAGCAAGAAATGGTGAAGTTTAGTTGCTGAATATATATGGTAAGTGTCATGCCCCAAACTAAGAATGGCATGTGGCAATTCTTCCAAGCTGACTTCGTTTTGTTTGATTCCTATAGACAAAATCTTACCAGACTGAAGACTCTATTATCTGCACCTACAATATATTTTGTGAACAAATAGGGTGGTGTTGTCTTCATCCTTTTTCTTTCACACTGGAATCACAATTTCTGGACTGAGAAGATGTCTCTTATGCCTCTAAGAATGCACCCTCCTGGCAATCTACCTCTTCACCACATTCCATCACATCAAGAATAATGTACAATGGAAATAAAACATGAGTGACAATAAATGAAATGTCTAGCAAATGGTTAAACACTGAGCAGGGTATAAGACAAAAATGTGTGATATTCACTTTATTGTTTGATGTTTTTGTGAATAAATGTAAAAGTTTGGAGTG